TAGACAGTGTTCGAAAAATTAGCCGTTCATCCCTTCAATAATTTTCATTAGCCGTTCATCTGTTCGACCTCATCCGTTCGAAAATTTTAATTAGCCGTTCATCCGTTCGACCTCATCCGTTCGAAAATTTTCACTAGCCGTTCATCCGTTTGACTTCATCCGTTCGAAAATTTTAATTAGCCGTTCATTTGTTCACAGTATCCGTTTCGAACGGCTTTCCAAGCCGTTCGTCACCCGTTCACTTGGCGTTCCGTTCACTGTTCGAACAGCTACCGTTAGGAACGTTTTCGCGTGAAAGGTCACATTTTGTCACATCTTCCACAGGCCAGGGGCAAAGTCCAGAAAGGCAACAGCCTGCCTGTTTTAATGCCCATGTGAAAGCCTTTGAAATATGATTATTTTCTCTTTATTCAATGTATTTTCATGTACCCGAGGAATGGAGGTATGAAATATCTTTGTGAAGGTCTCTTGGAGATAAAATAAAGTTTTGGTTTGCTTCCTGCATTAAAAATTAAAAAGCTCGTGCCAAAGCCCCATTTATGAAAGCCAGATATTTCAGGTCTTGGTTCACTTAAAAGAAATTTTGACAAGAAAACCTTCAAGCCTAGTTATTGTTTGTCCACTTCAAATTATGGAAGATCAAATGGAAGAAGCATCTTCGGTGGGATTAATGGCAGCTACACTCAAGGATTGTCATTTCAAGGATATAGAGTGCAGCAAATATCAATTCATATTTACATCAGCAGAAGAGGTTTTGGCAAAGCCATGTCTTTCATTGATGAGAAAAAAACAGCCACACTGTTTTGTCAAAACATGCAGGTTCCACATCAAGCAAATTATAGCGGGTAAACCTTGGAGTACAGTTGTTTGTTTGCTTCAACGTATCATTTGTTTGCTTCAAAGTATCATTTGTGATGGAAGAAACATCATCAGATGGATTAATGGAAGCTACACTCAAGGATTATCATTTGGAAAATACAGAGTGCAGCAAATATCAGCTCATATTTGTGACTGTGGAAGAGCTTAGTAGAAGCCACTTCTTTTCTGTCTGAAAAAAAGAAACTGCTCACTGTTTCACTCATTGGCTCAACGTGTGTTTGTTTCTGTCAGAAGACAGTCCTTTCAGCTTTTAAAGTAACTAATTTTGATTGGCTACCTACTCATTTCCAGAAATGCAGTGAGGCGTAACTAATCAGGGGGTATGTTGCATTTTAACAGCCTTTTTGGGAAGGCTTCTTCTTGCCCTTCCCCTGCCCCCCTACCCCCACCGTCCATTCTGACTTCAAATCAAACATAGCTTTCAGATAAACAATCACGAGCTTATAACCTCAACTCACCCTAATAAGATGCCTGCACTGTGTTTTGGTAATTAAGACATTTTGCAAGCTTTTCACGTTTGTCAAGATCAACTTTTTATTGAAATACTTCATGTATGTGTACACAGACTGCTATCCAAATATGGCCAATGTGTTCTGTTCAGACTACTAAAATAACTTCAAGTGAAAACCACATGTATTTTTATATACCATAATAGTAACACAACAAAATCTCCTCAGTAGGGTGGTCTCGTCATAAGTCCAGTCTCACTGGGGGGCGTGAGATCCTCCCACTGTGGGTCCGGGCCCGAACACAATGAAACCAAATATGTAACTTACGTAACACACTGCCGGCTAATGTTACATTTCAAAAAAGAATGTCAGGTTGAAGTGACTTCAAACTAGTTTGATTAATTTCCTCTTTCAGTACATTGTCTATCAACTATAGTCTCTAGCAGAAAGAAAAATACAAAGTAAACTGGTCTGAAATCATTTTGAACAGCAACATGTTTGCAGGGTGTTTTTGTCATTAAAATTTGAAGGATTTTCAAGGTTCGTTTCAATTGGTTTCCTCAGGGTTGAATCCATTGAATATATGATTGCTTTACTAACTGATTGATTGATTGATTGATTGTTAGGAGAGTGTGTTGAGTATTACCCGGCACTAAATGGTACTGTACGCAAACACTGGTCAAGATATAACAATGAAAAGGACTGCACTGAGAATAGAGGGAAATGGATGATGTTCACAAACTATCTGGAGAAAACTATTGATTCTGCACTGCAGTACAACAATCCTGATGAGTGTAAAAATGCAGGATTTGTTTGGGGTATCCCTCATGGTTTTGAAAAGCCTGAGTGTTTAGTCAAACTTGATCCACCTTACTGTGGTCAGGCTCCTTGGACAAGGGACAATCATCTTGGTAACACACCAGATGGGGTGGCACCAAGCTTTACTTGGACAATTCCACACTTTAGGTCTGGTCATGCTCAATTATGTGTCTTTAGAATAAGGTGAGGGAGAGGATGAGTAACCCACTTAATATTAAGCAGGAATGTTATCACCCAGTGAATAGCAGCCCTGAAAAGGAATGTTATTGGTAGCAGTGACTGGCATTTTAACAGACATAGTGGAAGTGAAGGCAACTGTTATTACTCCTAAACTACCACATGCACTATACAAAACATTTGTTGACAACATTTACACAACAAACAAATAAAACAAAACAACCTAAACTTACTGACAGGTCAAAGCTGGCCATTCAGTGTACAAGCACCAGACTTGTAACTTGAGACTGACAAAAAAATCTCCACTTGGTTCAGATGATGTCAACCTCCATCAGGGTTATCAAAATGTGATTCACCACTTCCACCTACCAATCAGAAATGCAGACACCTATTCCACATTAAATCTGTGGTTTACTGACAATTTTATGTTTAGTTACACTCACCCCTGGTGCTTTTGACTTAGGGTATACCTTTTAAGTATGATGTTTTGTTTGTAATCTATTTAAGATATAGGATGTAATTTAATGAATTGTAACTTTTAAGATAGTTTTTATGGTTGTAAAGCTCATTTGATTGTATACATGATTCATGTTAATGTGCACATTTGAAATATCAACTGTTATTGTCATTATTATTAATTACTAGCTTATAAGGATTTTTTTTTTATCTCTTTCAGATATAACATATCAACAAGTGACTATGATGGCTGGAACACTAATGCTACTTACAACAATAAGTAAGTACCTTTACTTGTAGCCACAGTGGAACCTGTCTAATGGGAATCCCGCATTTTAATAACCTCTTAGTCATGTTTTAACTGAATGGTAATGTATAAGGGGTTGTAGTCTTGAGTTGTAACTGTTGGGCTCTAATTCTATTCCATTTTGGTTTGTTTTGTTTTGTTTTGTTTTTGTTTTGTTGATGATGTTGTTGTTGTTGTTTATTTTTCATTATACTTTGCAACCAAGTGAAATGCTATCCTACTCTTTGCTGCAAAGTTAAAGCTACATAGTTTGCATGGTAAATTGAAGGTACAGGATTGAGGTTTGCAAGTTTTAAAATTTGTACAATGAAGTTTGTGATTTGTTGTGTGCTTTCACCAGGTTGATACAGCAGAATCCTGCAGTTGACATTGGTGCTACATCACCTCTAAAACTTGCTCTAAATACTGCACAATATGGAAGAACATTTCAGGACAGGTCCCACATCATTCAACTTAGTTCACGAATAACAGAAGGAGTGCCTCTAGACAAGAATATCTACAATTTGAACATTCATGGAAAAAGAGGAAATATTGTACAGGTATTATTAGCGAGAGTACTTTGTTATGGAAAATTAAAGACCATTACTCATTTGTAAAACCTCCTAGCTATTGACTTACAGTGCAGCTCAAAGATAAGGGGACATCACTGTATCTGTAGCTGTATTTATATCAGTTTGAATTTTGAACAAAAATTTCGGTTAGTGTACCTGCAGTACAGCTAACGTTAAGCTCTACAGTGAATAACTGTTTTGTTGAGACTCATTATTTTGGTGCAAACATGACAACTGCTTTACTGTTAAGCAACTGATAATTGATTTAACAATTTTTTTGTTGTATCCATAAGGTTTACCCAGCTGTTGAGTATGACTTTGTCCCAAGCAAACTGAACATTCGAAAAGAAACTGATGTTGTGCATATACAATGGACAGGTAAGACAAACTTACTCTCAACATCCCACTTTAACACATGTCTGTGGGAGGGGTTACTGTACATGAATACTTATTTTGTAAAGGGGGCTTGTTAGTTCTTCTGTTATGGCTTCAGCATGGCTAAATTATGTTTTGGTTGTCATTTGTAGGTTCCAATTCACATAACAACAATAGCCCTGCTGGTGATGGCCAAGCTGGGGATGCTGGTGAAGGCAAGAGCGGTAAGTCTTTTGTTTTTATTTTGTTTTTTTTTACACTTTTCTTATACTGCATTCTGATATTGATAGAAAAATTGTAGGAAAACAGCTGCCTGACTGAAGGAGAAAGATAGTCATAGAAATCATGGACATTTAAGTACCCATTTGTGCAGCATAGTGAGTGATAATGTATAAGTCGTGTCTTCTCCAAGAAAAAAACATCTGGAATAGAGATGGTACCAGCTGTCAACATAAAATGAACATCTGATACTATTTTGTTTTGTAAGGGTAGTCAGGAAACTGTAAGTTATGATTTTGAAACTGGGGTTATGAAATGTTATTTAATTTGTTATTCCACAGGCTCTGACAGAAATAACATTGTAGAAACTAGCAATTCTTTGGATAACTACCCCCTCCCATTTGAAAAGTCCAAAATGTTTCAGGGGGCTACAGCTGTTTGGTCCAGCCTTAAATTAAAAGATCCCAAACCAGAAGATATTGCTGTTAGCTTGGCAAGTGCAGGTACTGTATGGCATTGTGATCAGTTAATTGTCAGTGATGTACAATATTCCTGCTAACTTAAGGGGTAAATTTTCAGGAAATTTCACACTTTTGTTTGGCAAGTCATATGGCAGGTCAAGAAAAAAAAGGTAAACCTTAGTAACACAAAGCAATTGCCTTAATGACTGCTTACATTATGCAAATACTTCCCTGCTTAATTGAGGAACAAATTCCAGGAGTTGGTTACATTGGTTAAAAAAAATTAATGATTTGTCTGATCCCCTGACCAGTAGTAATTTTAAAATGAGAAATTTACAACCAGGCAGGAAAGTCAAAACAGGTATCGCAGTGTAGGGTATAATTCCTCATGTCCTGACCTTAGTATGCATATTCTCATTGCTGCTCACTATACAATTCCTATATACCCACAGGAAGAATTTGTTTAACAACCGAGAGTGTCTTAAGTCAGTGATCATTTCTTTTGTCATAATGACCTTCATGTGTGATTCAGGGGTGATTTTGTTTAGGGAAATTAATTAGTCACTCCTAGGGGTGAAGGGCTAATTTTACCTTTAAGAGGTTGTAAGCTTAAAATTTCAAATTCTTATTTGAAAGGTTACTATACTTGTCTACGGAGTAAGACATGTGCTGAGTCTGTGGAGACCAAGAAGGCTAAAATGGATTCTCTTTTGAATAATGCTCCAGCATCATTTGGAGGCATTATGTTGAAGTTCAGTAACAAGGGATGTTTCTTCTACATGTGCTCGCGTAATAACAACTTTTCAAACCGAAGTCAAAAAGGAGTGTTATGCATAAGTTGAATTCTATCACATTAACTTTGAAAGTTAAAGCAAGTGACTTATCACTTTCACAGAGAGAATTGTTTCTCTTTCATGTGACCAAAAACTAATTGCAATTTGTATGATGGAGTACTTATTTACAATTTGTTGATCAGATAGCAGAAGCAGCAGTTAGAACTTTTGTTGAGTTACTGGCTAAAACTAAGGAACACAATGCTCTTTTTCAGCAAATTTCAGCCCATGATAACCCCCCCGTCTCTTTCACACCCCCCTTCTGTCCCTTCCCGCCCATTTCCTAACCTTTAGAATGTAAAACCTTCAGGATTGGAATTTGCTAAATGTACCACAACATCTTTGAAATTGCAGTGTTCTTTTATCATTCAAGCTACGTTATTCTTTGGCTATTCGGCCAATGTTTTTTTAAGGATAGATTATCTTTTTTACTTATTGTGCTAAGTGGTCAAATTTTTTACCACGTTTCCTACTTCAAGATGTCTTTGATTTTTTTATCGTTTTTTACAACTCATTGTATGAAGTAATTGTAAATAATATTTGAAAGAATAAATTTTTATGGAATTTTGATACGAAAGTGCTGGTCACTTTTGGGCAAATGACTTGCTTACATGAGTCGTGTTATTTTCCAGTGGTATTTTGAATAAAACTAGACTGATAGTTATAGTATTAATAAGAGTAATGATTATAATTGTAATAATTTTAACAGTGATACTTTTGTATTGACTTGTAAGATTATTTGATCATGTGTCAAGTGATAGTTGTATCAAGTGATAGTTGTGTAAATGATTGCTAAGTTCACTTTTTTTTAAGAGTTTGTTGGTGTGAAGTATTATTATTTTGTTGTTGTTGTCTTCTTGTATTGAAGGAGAACAAACCTCTAGTACACAAACACAATTACACAAACACAATGTATTTGAAAAGTTTTTCAGAGTGAATTTCATATGTGAATAAATGTTCCCACGCTATTTGAAGGTCCTGAAGTCGATCGGATTTAGAGTGAAACCTTGAAACCTGCGCCTAGGGACCTGGGACCGGAGACTCTTTCCGGATAGACTTACTTCTGAAAGCCGTTGCTCTTTGTCTGAGTGTATCATCTAAATGACTTAGTTCAAGTAATTTTCGGGTAGTTAACCCTTAGACCCCAAAGAGCGACAAGTGCCTAATTTCTCGTTACGATATCATCCCCCGGAATCACACACAAAAGTCATGAGAATGAAGGAAATTATAACCAACTGAAAAAGCTCTTGATTGTTTAAAACACTTTTTCTTGTCAGCGTAATAGGAAATGTATAGAAAATAGTATGGAGAATATGCTATACTGGTGTTAGCGTGAAGAAAGGTCAAGGGTCTTTTCCAGTGAACTGAAATTTGATTATAATCAGTTCTTTTCTGCAAGTCAGACATTGCGCGTATTCAAATGCTCCTTTAAAGTAGCGTTTCTCTTAAAGGGGTTTTAGCTGAATCCTATTGCTCAGGGTAGTAGTCTTAAAATTATTGGAAATACTTCTGGTCAATAGCTAATGTTTGAAGCGATTTCCTCGAAACGAACATCATGAAAAACGTGTGGTAGGTTAGATCCCTTGACAGATCCTGCAATCAAATATTTGTCTGATTACATAATAAGCAGGCTTTTTGGTAGAATTGAAGATTTCACTTGCCTGAATCGCAAACGGATCGTGATAGTTACGTCATCCCGGTTAGCTCAATTGGTTAGAGCGCCGGATTGTGCTGTGCGGGAGGTCGAGGGTTCGAGCCCCGGCCGGACCGATACTCATGGTCTTAAAATAACTGAGGAGAATTTGCTACCTTTCTATAAT